GATAGGACAAGAAAGGTGACACCTGGGCCGTGATGCTGGTCCTGGTGAATGCCAAGTGTGTGCTGTGGGCATTATCACCACTACCACCGCGGTGGCAGACTCACCTCTGCTGAGTCTCACCCTTGCCCGTGGAACTCTGCCAAGCACCTCCTGAGTTTGATCAGGCAGTGGGTCCTACCCAAATGTGTGGTCCCTTGTGTGCCACTTGCATGTTCTAGTCCTGTGGCCTTGATTTATCACCTCTGGGTCTCAATCCCCCCATCTGACAAAGGGGGTGCTTTTCCTTATTCTTTGAGTGGGAACAGGGGAGGAAGTGCTTGTTGTGGACTGAGGCTCTGGAAACATTACCTGGAGCCAGGGTGTTGGTAACCCTGTCTCCCAGGCAGCCTGGCTCCCAAAGCCAGGTTTAACCACTGGCCCCTCCTGTTTCCCTGTAGAATGCTCTCAAAAGCCAAAGCTTGCATCTTGGGCCTCAAACAAACACACAAAAAAAGCCACAAAGTTGCTGGTAGTAGAGGACCCTCTGAGACTGTCTCCTCGGGAAGTTATAGGTAAAAGATGAGGCACAGGTTTATCAGGAAAGGACCAAGGAAAAGGAAGTAAGGCCTCACTACTGATGCAGACAAAAGAGAGGCGGAGGCGGAACATTAAAGTAATGAGAAGGGGCCCAGGTGCGCTGCACCTCCGGTCCCCTCAGCTGGCTTCTTGTCTTTATCATCCTTCCCCTCATCTGGTTCTTCTCTCACCACTTCGGGTCCAAAGGACTGTCCCATCGATGTCCCTAGAGGGCGAACCAGCCTGGTCCAGGCCTCCCTCTCCTGCTTGCATTTCCTTCTCTGAGGCTGCTGGCTTAGTGACATCTGTCCTTTTGATCAGACAAAGCCACTGTCCTCTCTGTTCCCTGCTTTCCCAAAGTACCATACCCATACTTGCCTGCCTTTGGGCAGCAGGGAGCCTGCCTCCCACAAGGAATGAGAGGGAGGGTGGGCAGAGGGCTTCTATTTGGTGAGATACTCATGAAGCCATCGCTAGTACTGGCCTCTCAGTACAGGGCCCAGCCCAGAGGAGATACCCATTAAATGTGTGTTGGATACACCCAATCCAGCCCTTCATCTGAAGGGTTTGTTTGTCAGCCCTGAAAAAACTTATGAAGACCTCTCTTGTCTGACACCAGTCCTGACCTATAGAAACGACTTTTTAAAATTTCCAGTAGAAGATTTTCAGCTAGCAAATACACCCACTGGAATCCTCTCAGCTCATGGCTGCCTCTTACTTCATTCAATGTGTGTCAGTGGAGAGTGCCGTGGAGCACTTGGCATTGTAAGAAACACAAAATCTTCCGAAGCCTTAAGCTGCTGACACTATGGAAGAAACAGGAAGTCCTCCAGCCACTGGTCAATATCTACGGAACATCAGCTATTTGATTCCAGATCCTTAGTGTATATAATGTGACAGGAAACAAAATACTTCACGGAGCTTGCAGTCTATAGAGGCTGACAAATACTAAAGCTGTAATTCCAGCTAAAACCCAAGGGAAGTGGCATGGACCCTCATGCAAATAGCAACCTTTGAATATACAGTGCTTATTTTGGAGGCCAGCAGGCAAGTTTAGCATCTCAAATTCATCACTCACTTTGTATGACCTTGACCAACAGACTTAAACTCCCTAAAGCTCAGTTTCATTGTCTGTGAAATGGAAATAATAATTACTTTCTTCCTAGTCATTGTGAGGATTGTAAGAGATGACTCAAGTAACTGGCATAGAATATTATCATTAGGATAATGATGGTGAAGTCTAATAAATACTAGCTGAACGGGACAGAATGCAGGGCAGGAGGGATTACTTCTTCCCGTGCGAGGGTGGTATGGATGTGGATAGTTTTCCAGGAGAAGGTGGTTATTGAGGCTGAGCCTTAAAAGATGGGCTGGATTTCTATAGAAGGAAGTGGCAAAGAGTGAATCAGTTCAAAAGTAGAAAAAATGAATGATTCAGAGGATCATTAAAATAAAACAAATTTTTTAAAAAATCTAAACCAAATGACTAGGCTCCTTAAAAATAGGACACTGCCTTGCCAAGCAAGCTCCAGAAGTGTTAGTCAGGCGGAGGAGGTGGCTACTGGGAAATTTCACCCAGTACAGCATTATTGAGAAGTTGTGGGTTCCTGGACTCCGCGTGGGGTTGCGCAATCCTGCAGAGTTAAGGTTACCCAAACACTGGCCTGAGGAGTGAAAGGGAACTGCTTAGGATAGAATCGATATGAGAGACAAAGAACACAGGTCCTGTGGCCAGCAGAGCAGTCTCAAGGGAAAGTGACTGTGTTGGAATCACCTGGGGTGGATCCACAGGCCAGCAAGCATATGCCCTGGGAAACCATGACTAGAACATCTGTAAGGCAGGGACCGCGCACTCCCAGGGCTGGGTCTGACCCAGTCCTTCTGCACTGGTGTCCTCTGGTCACTCTCCACTTCTCCCCCTATCACACTCCAGGAATTCACCATCTACATGGTGGACCTGGAGGATGGGACTCAGATCCCAGCTCTGATACTTGCTTATTGTGTGATCTTGGCTAAATCTCCTCATCTCTTTGTATTTTCATCTACAAAATGGGGATCATCATGTCCACTTTATATGATTACATTGAGGGGTAAATGCAACACGCCTGGCCCATACAGTTGTTTAGAAAATGTTACTTCCAGCAGCCTCTCTCAGTCTCTTCCTCCTCCTGCCAGCACCCTAGCTTCCGCTGAGTTCTCGCTGGCGTGAGAGTTGAATGCCTCCTGGTTAGTCCCTTAGCCGAGGGGTTGACTCACGTGTGCCCCACTCACATGTATCGATGCCTGCACTGCAACAAGCTCTGTTCTTAGACTAAAGACAAACAACGTGGTATAAAGAAAAAGGGTGAAAGGCACACCCGTAATGGAGGTGAAGGACACTGAACCCAGAAACTGAAAGGAAAAAACCAGCCTTACAGTGGCCCTACTGGGTGCTGGGAGAAGACATAGACTGTGGAGATCAAGAGGTAAACAAAACACAGCCTGAGGCTTTAGGGTCACCATAGTTTGGAGTAGGAGATGCACAGGCGCCCCTGCTGGCGGTGGTTCCATGGTCAGCAAGCCGAAAGACTTCTAGGAGGAGATTACGGATGCTGGGCATCCAAGGAGGGGCATTTTTAGATGAGAAATATCCCATGCAAAGCCTCCACTCCGTCAAAGCACAGTGTTTGAGGAACATTTGGGTGCCTCCTTAAAAGAAGTAAAATAAAATCTTTTAATTTAGACCTGGCCCAGACACGGAGTAAATGCTCAATTAAGTTATGATGCACTTTTTTTGAGGCAGGGTCTCACTGTATGGTCAAAGCCAGGCTGGCCTTGAACTCACCGTCCTCCTGCTTCAACCTCCTGGGTGCTGACAGCACAGGTGTCTGTCAGCACACCTGGCTATTGAGCACTTCATTAGGGCTTTATTACTGCTCAATTGCCCATGAGCTCACTTGCCAGCTCCCAAGGCTGATGGTGATGGTCTGGCTCCTGAGGTCAAGGAGACAGCTGAGCCTCACAAAAAGGGAGGCACTGGTGTGGGGCAGGGCAACACTCACTTCCTGTTTCACAGGGGCCTGTGTGTGTCCTCTAGCCTGGGTCAGCACGTTCTGTTCCCTTCCCCAAAGAGAACCTGACAGTACAGCCGGCCAGCTGACCAGCGCTCAGCTAATGGGAAAGTGGGCTGTGCTGGGCCCCAAATCCACAGCTCATCGCCGCGAGCCAGCCCTGGGGATTCCGCAGGCCCTGGGTCTAGCGGGTTTAGAGAAGTAGGCACCGAGTCATCCAGTCATCGGTCACAGGCTCTGTGTGGTCATTGCCTGTGGGACCTGCGCAGGGCAGCGGGTGGGGAAAGGGACCGATTGCAGCAGTGAGCGCGGGAACCGGCGCTCACGTTGTTTGTTGGGGCTGGCTTCCTGGTCTGTTACCAGAAAGTGGTTACATAATAGGTTTGCTCCTGCCTCCAGCAGATATGGATCGAGTGTCGCCCCTAGGCCAGACGTGGTTTCTTAGCCTTGGAAATAGCGAGGACAGACACAGCCTTCTCGCTTACGGGCATTGAGCTGGTGGAAGGAGACACACGGAGGGTCCACTTTGCCTAGCACTGAGCCAGTACTATCTCATTCAATCTCCCAATCCTTGTAGGAGACACATACTATTGCTAACCCATTCTACAGACTGCAGTGTCCTCCTTTAGGAATCTCTTTCCCTCTCACCCTTTGGCTTAGTATGTCTCAAAAGACAGTGAATCAAGGAGGGGCTGCAAGGGTGACACCTTGCCTAACTTTCAGCATTTGGTGACCTAACCGGTCAGGAATGAGGGGCCTGCATCTTTTGATAACAGCCAGGCCCCGCCCACCCGAGCAGGGACAGAGCTCGCAAAACTACTAAACTACCGTCAGAGGTTTGGAGCAACTTCTCTTCCCAGCATTCCTTAATCATCATTACTCTGGACTCAGGCATTTAATTGCTCATCAGTTTCTCCATTCTTTGATGAACAGAGAATTTCTTTCATTCTTTCTGGGCCAGAGCAGCCTTTGAATAGATTTTATTGTAGGTGAGTCTCCCCTTCCTCCCAACGCCCTCTCTGCCTGCCTGTGACTGTGGCTTATCATGTGAACCCTGCTATGCACCAGGCCCTTCCTTGGTGCAGACCCCCAGGGAAGTAGAGGAAGGAGCAGTGGCAGTCAATAAGGGTAAGAGAGGGCAGTCCCAGAGCCCGAGGTGCCCAGAGGCCCTGTTACTTTGCGGGGTGCACATGTAAGCGCCTCTGGCTGAGTTTGAGTGGCAGGGAGAAGCCATCTAGGGTTAGGTTTGTCTTGACAGAGCAGTGTGACCAGACCTACGACCTTACAAGAACCAGCAAAGAAAGGAGAAAGGCAAACTCATGAAAGGTCTTCAGAGTTGGAGGAAAGGCTTTAATTCATTCCACAAATAATTATTAAGCTGTGCTTTTGTCCTAGGAACTCTCCTAGATGTTGAAGACATCACTCTGTAGAAGGATGACCAAGCTTCTGCCATGGACGGAATCTCCATTCTGGGCTGAGAGGGTTGGAGCCAGACTACACCTATCACAGAAAGAGGCTATTAGGTTTTTAGCACGACCACAAGCCCTTTGACCTATGTGGGTCGACTGAAGTCTGCCCTGGAGGTTGGACTGACACAAGCGAAAGTGGCAAAGACTGTATAGTGTCCACACCACCACCATCATCCTGCGCCTAAAGGCTGCTTGTTAAATCCTGCCAGCACCCTGCTGGGAAGAGGCAGACAATAAACAATAGGCAAGTAAGTAAACATGTTGACAGTAGATCGTAGATTGTGTACAAAGGAGAAAGCCAGCAGGGTGGAAGAGGAAGGGAGGCAATCAGGGAAGCCCTCTCAGAAGAGGGGACACCTGAGCTCAGACTTATGCGAAACCCGGCTTTGAAAGAGTCAGGGACTGCATGAGGGGCTGAATTGTGCCCCCACCCCAACTTCATCTAGTGAAGCTGTAATTCCCAAGACTTTAGGATGTCACTGTACTTGGAAAAACAGGGACTTTAAAAAGCTCACTACATTGAGAATGGGTCATTTAGATGAGTCCTACTCTATTCTGCCTTCTGTCTTTATGAGAAGGGGAGCTTAGTCATTAATTAAATAATATCACATTTTTAAAAAAGAGGAGAGCAGGACCCGGCGCAAGACCAACGATGCATATGCACAGAGATGGCACCGCACAGGGACCCAGTGGGAAAATGGTCATCTGCAAGCCAAGGAGAGAAATCTTAGGAGAACTCAAAAGGCCAGCACCTTGGTCTGGGATTTTCAGTCTCCAGCTCTGTGACAGTGCATTTTTGCCCCTGCAGCTCCTCAGGGTGTGGTGTTCTGCTTTGGCAGCCCGAGAATATGGAGGAAATATTCCAAGCAGACCGGCTGGGGGGTAGAAGGGGACATGGAAGCCTATGTGGCTGGAGTGTGGCTGGGGAGGAGGGGGTAGGCGGGGTCCAAGTCACATCAGACCTGGTGAGCACGAGAAGCTTCCTGGTATTTATTATGCTAAGTGAGGAGAGTGAGTGGTGAACCCCAGGACAGGAACCATTTGAAGCTCATCAATAATGTCTTCCTTTCACATGTTATTTGGTGGAGCTAGAGAAATTCTAACTTAAACTGCTCTAAATATTGAGAAACACAATAGAAGCTTGGGCGCATGGTAATGGCAGCAAATTGTTCATTATACAACAAAAAAAGCCAAAGATAGAAAATTTGACAGTTAAAACTACTTTTCTATCTGTAACAAGTAAAGAAGAAACATGACCTCAGAAATCAACTTCTAGATTTATTTTACTCCAACAAATACTTAGTGAGCCAGACCTCAGGTGCAGGCTTTGTTCTAGGTTCTGAGGCTAGTGGACACTTAAAAATGCAGACAGGAGCTGGACGTAGTGACCCACACCTGTAAGTCCAGCAGTGTGGAGACTGAGGCAGGAGGATCGCTGTACGTCAGGGCCAGCCTGAACTGCAAAATAAGACTGTCAGAAAGAGGTCTGTGATCTTGGCCAAAGAGAAGAGGAGAGGAGAGGAGAGGAGAGGAGAGGAGAGGAGAGGAGAGGAAAGGAAAGGGAAAAAAAGAGAGAAGAGAAGACAAATTTCTGGGTTATCACAGAACATCATGGGCTGATGTAGCTGTCCAAGAGATACTAGTAGCTGTGAATTTGAAAATTAGGCTGCAGTATGACCTGGTCCATCCTGGTCTGTCACTGTGAATTAGATACATAGTTAGGCAGGCAGGCAGAAAGAAGGAGAAGGAGAAAGAGGAAGGAAGGAAAGGAAGAGAAAAGGGAGGGAGGGAAAGAAGGAAACGAGGAAGGAAGGAGAGAAGAAGGCAGGTAGGCAGGTGGTGGCATCTAAACCCATTTGGAACTGGCCCTTTCTCTGCCTCCTCTCTGCACAGCCTGACCATCTCCCCAAAAACCCCAGCTGTAAACTCCTGCCAAATATGTGGATTTTATAAAAGTATTCATTATATATATATATATATATATATATATATATATAGAGAGAGAGAGAGAGAGAGAGAGAGAGAGGGAGAGGGAGGGGGAGAGGGAGAGGGAGAGGGAGAGAGAGGGAGACAGGATGTGTAGATGGGTATGGTGTCTGATCCTGTGGTTCCAGCTCTCTGTGACAGCTGGGGCAGATGGATGACAAGTTGGAGCCTAGAACAAAGCCTGCACCTTAGGCAATTCAGTGCCTTAGTATAACCCTGTCTCAAAATTAAAAAAAAAAAATTTTAAAGGCTGGGATAAAGCTTAATGAGAAGACCCTAATACATGGACACACACATACACACACACACACAAATGACTATGTGTATCTGGCTCACCATTTGGCAGAAACAGAAGTCTAAGAACATGGATTATATGTGCATTTCCCGTAGGGTCAGAGGAGGACTTTACATGACACAGGGCATAGCACCTCTTCTGAAATCTTCATTTAAGCACACCCTGTACTTCCCCAAACTTCCCTTCACTGTGTCCCCGCATTCCTGGCCTCCACATCCTACCTGGGAAACTTGCCTTCCAGCTGTCCCAACACACTGGCTCACTTTCTTCTTGTTTCTCCTGGACCTCCCCACTAGAAATGATCATGACTATGAACCTGAGCATTTGGCAAGAAAATCGGGGCTGGGGTTCAAAGTGGGGTGCTGCAATCCCCATCTTCCCTGGGATCCTGCTCATCCTCATAGGTAGGAGCTATAAGCACTCCACAGTGATGCTGTGGTTTGACTAAGTGTCCCCCAAAGGGCTGTGTGAGAGGTTGGATCCCTAGCTCAAGTGCTATTGGGAAGTGGTAGAAACTTTTGAAGGCCAGATCTCACGAAAGCCTTCTGTTTGTCGGAGGTGAGCCTCAAAAGGGACAGAAGGACCCCAGTGTGTCTTCCTTCTCTTCCCAGACACCCTGAGCTGATCAGCTTTGGTCTGCCGTGTTGTACCCTGGTATGTTGGACAGGCCAGAAAGCAGTGAAGCCAGATGGTCATCAGCTGGAACTGTGAGACAAAGTAAGCCCTTTCTCTTCATAAGCTGATCCACTCAGGTATTCCTTAGAGTACCAGACAGCTGACTAACACAGCGGTTCCCTCTGGGGAAGTCGAGGCTGACTAACACAACGGTCCCTCTGGGGAAGCCCTGGGGGCCTCAAGCGTACCATTCTACTTTTCTGAAAACTTCCTTCTGTAGCTGTACATACACTAATTTCAAATATATATTTAAAAAACTATGCAGGGTGTGTGGCCCCACACCTGTAATCTCAGCACTTGGGAGGCTGAGGCAGGAACATCGTGGCGAGTTCAAGGCTAGCCTGAACTACATAGCAAGACACTGTCTCAAAAAAAACTTTTTTTAAAATTTAAAAGTGTTTTAAAAAACCGTATTGCTCTGATGTCACACAGCCCAGAGAAAATTAGCAAAAGGTGGTGCCTGAGTGCTGCCAGGCCCTGCCCCAGCTTCTTACCACTGAATGGACAGCCCAGTTGGAACTGGCTCTGCTGGTTCCCTCATATCTCAAAGCAGCCTTGGAAATGAACTTGGGAATATTTAGGCATGGCCTGTACAGGATCAGTGGGTGCAGAGCAGGGGGAATATTTTATATCAAGTGGAATATTTATGATCTTTAGGTGACTCCCAAAGAATCCAGCCACCCCGAGAGAAACCGAGATGACTGCCGAAGGCACCTAGCGGTGGGGACAAGGAGGGGTAAATGCTGGGCCACCCAAACACATGCTAGGTTTGTCACTTCTTGGCTGGGAATTCTAGAACAAATGCTTTTTGATCTCTGAGCTTCAGTCCTTTCTGTGAAACAGACATAGGGATGACTACCCCTTGGGGTAATTGAAATGACTGAGTGGCACGAAGAATTTTCAAATGTAATATTACTATTTTTTAACTGTCCATTGATGCCAGGAATATTCTGATGGCCCTTGGAGGGTGATTTCAGCGCACTTATTTCCTGGTCATAATCACTTCCTCCATCTCCCTGCTATGTCATCTCAGCTCTGACCTCACCGCTCTCTCCGCCCTGCCCCTCCCATTAGCCACCTCACCCTCCTCCACCCCCAGGTCAGCCCAACCAACGCCCAGATCTCAGCAAACACACTTTCTCATCTCAGGCTGCTCTTTTGATCCTCACCTTTTCCCTCCCATTTTCAGACCCTCTAACTCACCTCTGGAGAAACAGTATGAATAAATTCTAATTACTGTAATCCCAACACTCAGGAGGCTAAGGCAGGAGGATTCCCATGAGTTCAAGGGCAGCCTGGGCTACAAAGTGAGTTCAAGACCAACCTGAATTCATAGCAAGACTGTCTCAAAGGGGAGCTCTAATCAGTTTGTGAACCTTCATTGGCGCCATTTCTATGTTAATCTGGATCACACTGAAGTTTGTGTCTTGCTGGAGAGGGAAGTGTAAGGGGAGAGAAAGCCAGCCTGGGAGCTGGAGACTTGCGTTCAAATTCTTCATTTATACTCCCTTGTTAGGAGGGAATGATCTCCAATGGGTCACTTCACCTCTCTGAGCCCTGCGGTTTTTGTCTGTCAAATACAAGAATGATTCCTATTTAACAATTTTGTACTGTGAAATCACTGACAGTGTGCATTAGACACAGGTGAGCATCTGGTCAATGATAGCAACTGGATGGAGGTGAGTTTGTGCAGGATCTAGAAATCAGAGAGGGAGTGCAGACTTCATCCCAAGGGCAGCTGATAGCCAAGGAAGGCTCTGCGCAGCGCAGGCACCATCAGCTGTGGAAGTCTTATTCGGGCGGCAAGATGGAGCAAAGCGGGAGGTAGGAAGACCCGAACTGACACCAGACCTGGCTCAGACAGTGGCGGAGGAAATGGGGAGGAGACAACCTGGAGGTACATTCACTGTCCCCTCTGCTGGCCAGCTGAAGTTCTAAAAGTGCTCCAGCCAGCACTGACCGCCTGGCAAAGGGACAGGAAAAGAACAGTGCATGAAAGGGAGAGAAAGTGAAACCAGAACCTTATTTTCTTTTTTCAGCTTTTGAAACTCTGACTTCAGTCAGAAAAATGAATGCCTAGTGTGATGGTTATCTTGGCTGTCACCCTGATCTGCGTGAGAGACACGTAGGAGATTGGTAAGTCACACTTCAGGGTGCGTCTGGTGGGTCACAGAGGCGTGACTTTGGGGACTGTCTGGCTCCTCTCTTACTGGTGCTAGTCCCCTGCACTTGCTCCCCGGTCACCACACAAAGAGCAGCTTTCCTCCATAACAGCTGCCCCCATGATGCTCCTCTCTTGCAGCCACTGACCATTGACTGAAGCCTCTGAAACTGTGAGCCCAGCAAATCTCTCCCCCTTTGAATTGTCAGGTGTTCTGTCCCAGAAACACACAAATTAGAAGGAAAGTAAAAGTTGTTGTTGAGAAATAATAATAGCTCCTTTTCAATGAGCTCTAGCCAGTGCCAGGCTAAATGTGAGCCACTTGTGATATTATCGAATGTAATCACCACCCCCTGAGGGAATCATGCTCATCTCCACTTTAGAGATTTCTACACCGGCTCAGAGTGGAGGATGTGGTCCAAGGTGATGGAAGGCAAGGAATGCAATTCAGGGTTGCACAACTCTGAGCCTCGTTGATAGGGGAAAAGTAAGTAGCTGAGGAGACCAGACCAAAGTGAAGTCACTCCTCCCTACAAACACTCAGTGACCCTTAGGAAGATGTTATGTTACATGATATGAAGGGAGCACACTAGAAACAGTGCAACTAAAGGAACAATTTAGCTAACTGGTGCATGGGCATAAAACACTATTACAGGGCTGTGGATTTAGCTCAGCAGCATAAGCGCCTGCCTTGCAAGCGTGGTCCTGAGTTTAATCCCCAGTACAAAAAAAAGAAAAGATTCTATTACAAATGTAATGGGCTGAGGCAAGTTGTCACCACTCTTTAAGGGGAATTATAAAATTTCATTAAGTGACTAAAGAAAACCTAAATACACTGGGTGTATCCCAGTGCTCTGGAGGCTGAAGCAGGAATATCACTATGCATTTGAGGCCAGCCTGAGCTACACAGTGATTCAAGGCCAGCCTGAATATTGCCTTAAAACAAACAACCCCCCCAAAAAGAAAAAAAATGTAAATACATGGAGATGCATTCTATGTTTATAGACCAGAAAGACCATAATTCTTTGCAAATTATACTCACAATATGAAAATCAAACCAGTAGAGCTTTTCATATAATTCAACAAGCTGAATTTCAATTTGTAAGAAAGAGCAGAGAGCCACTCCCAAAGCAAAATTCTTGGCAGAAAATAGTTTTATTCTAAACAATAACAAGTAAGATGGTATGAAATTGGTGCCGGAATTAACAAATAGATGAATGGAACAGAATAAAAGGCTCCCAGATGGATCCACATCCACATGAAAATCTGTTTTCTGAGGAAGGATGCCCTGAAAACCAGTGGAGAAAGAACTGATGATTTCATAAATAGGGCTGGAACAATTCCCATCCAAATGGGAAAAATAATTCTTCAGTGCGCACACACACAAGCAATCAATTTTAGATACTACAAGTCCTTAATGTGAAATAAAAACCTTAACGCTTTCAGAAAAAATACAGAATATCTTTGTGATCTCAGGCAAGAGATAAATGTCTTAAGTAAATTATAGAAAGTACAGTTACACAGGAAAAGATTGGTACATTTGACAAAAAGTAATTCCTGCTCAGCAAAAAGTCACAAGAGATGAACTGATAAGCCAAAAATTTGGAGAAGATATTTTGTAATAAATGATTACAATTCAAAATAGGTGAAAACTTTTAGGAATTCATAAAACTAAGACAAATAATTCAATAGGAAAAGGGGTAAACAACAAAGATACTTTATATAAGAGGAGATAAATACGACCACAGAATGCTCAATCTAGTAATTAGTCATACAAATGCAAAATAAAACCACAACGAAGTACACTTCTTACACCAAACTAGCGAAAATTGAAAATCTGATGCTCGTTAAGAGTCAGGCTATAGAGCAAGAGAACGATCATCTACTCTCAATAACAGCACACATTCTCACCTCCCAGCAGTCCAATGTCTAGGTTTCTAGAAAAATTCTTACACATTAAGGTATATGTACAAGAATGGCCAAAGCCATTTATGAAAATCTGGGGTTTATTAAAAATCCCAGAACAAGCTGAGTGTGGTGGTGCCTGCCTGTTACCCCAGCACTTGGGAGGTTGAGGCTGGAGGATTGCTGTGAATTTGAGGTCAACCTGGGCAGCATAGCGAGGCTCTGTCTCAAAAAAAAAAAAAAAATAATCCTAGAAGCACCTCACACGTACCAGGATGGCTACATTTTACAAGATTTTCCAAAAATAACAAGTACTGGTGAGTATATGGAGAAACTGGAACTCATCAAGAAGGTAAAACAGTCCATGTTCTCTGAAAATCAGTATAGTGTTTCTTCAAAAAATTAAAAACAGTTACCATTAGCAGCACAATTTGGAATAGCTAAATCTTGGAAACAACCAAAATGCCCATCAACTGCTGAGTGGATAAAAAAGATGTGGTATTTTATACAATGGAATATTACTCAGCTATAAAAAGCATGATCTTGAGATCTTCATAGGTAAATGGAGGCAACCTGAGACTATCCTCATAAGTGAAATAAATAAGAATCATATTTATAAATACCACATTGTGTTTCTAGTGTGAAAAGTAATAACTGTAGAAGTAATAAAACCCAAAACTGTAATTGCTATTGTAAAAAAGAGAGGAAAAGAAAGTGCTCTAAAGGATGTAACTGCATGTATGTTTAAGTGTGTAAGATTGATAACCATATTGCTAAGTTTTTGTTGGATCATTGAACATAACTGTTTGCACTCACACTGTTTGAATGTCTACTTTGTATGCTTTCATTTTGTAACTTGAATGACTATTTCTAAGATGACAGTATATAATTTATCAACTAGTCATTTCTTACTTTTTTTTGAAATTCTGTATTATTCCTACCCTTTTTTTCTGTTTTGCTTTTTTCTCTTTAAATAAAATTTTTTTAAAAAAAAACAGTTACCATGGTCCAGCAATTCCACTTCCAGTATAAACCTAAAGGGACTGAAAGCGGAAACCCAGACAGACTCTGCTCAGCTGCTTTCATGGCAGTCTTAGAAGGAACTGGCCACGGACAAACAGGAAAACACAGTGCGTACACTCCCTGACTTAGGAGGCTTGGCCTTGTGAGTTTTTTTATTTTACAACGATAGGAAAAGAAAACACATTACAGAATTGTACTTTGAATTTTGAACTTTGATCTTTTCTTCTCTGGGCCACATAACCCTCTCTGGACTCTGAGCAGCCCTACCCAGCGCAGCTGCCTGTCAACGTGCGATCCAGGAGAAATGACCAGGGCGCCACTTGCTGAGTGGCCAGCTGGGCTGCGCCCTAGGTCAGGCAGATTCGACGCATTTTAAATTTGTGATATTTTCAGCTTATGATGGGTTTACCAAGATGCAGCTCCGTTAGTTGGGGAACATGTTTATAAACAATGGAATGTTCTGTCTTTTCCACCAAAGGAATAAAAAGGTCTCTGTTCATGATTATTTCTGCATAGAAAATTCTAAATTCAGGTCAGGGGTATAGCTTTGTGGCACAGCGACCTCCTGGCAAGTGCAAGGTTTTGAGTTTGATGATCAGTACAAAAAAAACAAACAAAAACAAAAAAAGAAGGTTCTAAGTTCTAAAATAAGTCTATGGTTTCTCTTATATAAGAAACTTAAACTATAAAATAAAGAGGAAAAGGGAAGGTCGATAGCAGGAAACAGAGAGATGGATCTTTTGCCAAAGGGCAGGGGACTCGGAGACAGCAGGAACGTGACGGGAACACAATAAAAAAAATTAGATATGCTGTGTACACATACCAACTCTGCATGATAAATGCAACAATCATGTACTAATAAAATAAAGATAAAAAATTAGTTCAACAGAGTTAAAGACATAAGCTTAACATAAAAATAGTAATTGTATGTCTCTACATTAGCAATGAACAGTTTGTGCTGTCATTGTTTGATCATTTTTTATGCCTAAATGTTGTAACCTGAACAACTATTTTTAAGATAACTATTTCTAAGATGCACTGTATTAACTAGTGTCAATTTCTTTCTGTTTCTTTTTCTTTTTTCTTTTTTGAAGTTTTGTATTATTTCTACCCTTTTTTTTTCTGTTTTGCTTTTTTTTTTTTTTAATCGATACTGGGGATCAAACTCATGACCACGCGCTTGCAAGGTAGGCACTTATGCCACTGAGCTAAATCCCAAGGCCCTCTGTTTTGCTTTTTTAAAATAAAAACAAATTGGAAAAAAAAAAAAAGGAAGATATTTCTGACACATGCCGCAGTGTGGATGAATCTTGAGAACATTCTGCTGCAGGAAGGAAGCCAGCCACAAAAGCACAAATGCTGCCCGAGTCCACCTTTATGAGACCTTAGAGTGGTCAAGTTCTTAGAGACAAGAGTGTAGAATGGTGGTTGGCAGAGGGGAGAAGAGGAAGGAATGGGAAGTTATTCTTTAATTAGCGTTTCAGATAGAGAAGAGGAAAAAGTTCTGGGGGTAAATGGTGGTGAGGGTTACACAATGATTGGCATATATTTAATGTTGCTCAAAATGATGAAAAGGGTAAAAATGTATGCTACCTTTTTAAACAATAAAAATATGTACCATTTCCTTTTACCTTACCTTAATAAAATATTTTGAAGATGATAAGACAGTGCTGGAAACCACTCATGTGTATGCTGGCAGGATGGACAACTGTGGGTTCAGTGTATGCATATAGTGAACTCCTATATGGCAAAGAAAATATGGCTCTATACCTGCACACATCCAAGTGGCTGAATTTCATGCAGAATGAAATAAAAGCAAGTTGCAGAAGAAAACACTTCAACTATATGAAGGTCAAATCACTACAGAATGTTGGGGTATAATTTATATGTAGTAGAACTGTAAAGGAATTCAAAATGTGGCTACTTTTAGGAGGGTTGGGAGGGACAGATATATAATCAGAGCAGAGAATGGCGGAGGCTGCTAAGATGTTAATGGTGGCCTATTACACCAGGTAATGGACATGTGAATGTTTGTCATGGCTTGTGTCTAGATGTCCCCCCAAAGCCTCATAGACGGGGCCTTTTCACAGTGGGTAGATCTAAAGTATGTGATGCTGGGATTAACCGGTCCACTGACTGGTTTGGCACCACCCTAATCCCAGTAGCCTGGATACAATGTAAGAGACAGAAAGAGGCTTGTCTCATCCCTTGTGGCTTTGCTACCTTTTGCCCACCATTAACTGTTTCTCCTCTTTGATGCCCCCCTAGTTTGGAGCCAGCCAATTATGGACTGAAACCTCTACAAACTGTGAGCTAAGTAAACTTTTCCTCCTTTAATTTTGGGTGTTGGATATTCTGTCACAGCAATGAGGAAAGCAACCAGGCAGTATTCATTCTATATTTCTTCTTCAAATTGTACCTGTTATATACACTTTTGGTACACGTGTGGTATTACATAATTTTTTAAAATGTCTTGTGCAGGAAAAGGAGTGGAAGAACTCTAAGATGACAGTGTTTCAGTAGAGGGCTCTTGAGCTTTCTACTTTCTGGTTTTTTAAATATTCCTGTACTTTTACATGGAAGAAGTATGAAATTATATTAAGAAAAAAGGGACTGAAGAGACCTTTCCCCTCAGATTTGTTCAGAGAAAGGAGAAGTGAAAGGGAACAAGTGAAAGCTTTGGGCTTCACCCATTTCTAGCAAAAGATGACATTGGAATTTTGAGGCAAAGTGCTATTAGACATAACCATTCTCAGCCACTATCTTGAGGGAATGTGTTCCTCCACACGATGGACTCCCCAGTTCCCCTCCTCAGAAAATCCCTGCCAGTTTCAGCAGTGGGAAGATGTCCTTCTGCAACGAAGTGGTAACCAAGGGGACAAAGCCTTGCTGGGATAGATTTCACATGAAAACCTTGCCACAAATCCCCTTGCTGTAAAGATCAGATGAAAGAGATAAAGAAAAAAGAGGAACACAGCAGAGCTATGAGAAACCTTTGAGATAAGAAATGTGGTCCAATGCAGTCATCGTACATCTGGGCAGGATGATATACGCCTTTTGGGTAAATTTATTCAAGAGATTTTCGATTTATCTTCCAGTCCTGACATCTCATATCCCTAGTCTCCCTCGTTGGAAACTCCTAGTACAGGACCAACTCTACCCACTCTCTGGAGGCACTGTGTATTGTGCAAACACGTATGCAACACCCACCATGTGTGCAACCCTTGTTGGAGGCCAGGAAACACAGGTGAATGAGCCAGCAACCCTCGCTTCAAAGAGCTCTCCATCAAGCTGCAGTGGCCACAGAAAAGAGACATCTGACCCTGCGTGGGTAACAGGAAGGAAAATCAAGAGATGGCCTTTGTGCCTTCATAAGGAGTTCTGGTAAATTAGGTAAAGAGGAGGTTGTACAAGGAGAAGTACTTCCAGGCAGGAAAAGACTACATGAGCAAAGATCCAGAAGAGAAAAATGGCATGGCGTGAAGGGGAAACTCAAGTAATTTTTTTTTCCTCTTTGAAACAGGGTTTCACTGTGTAGTTCAAGCTGGACTTGAGCTCACTTCGTAGCCCAGGTTAGTCTCCAATATGCTATGATCCTCCTGCCTCAGCTTCCCAAGTGCTGGGATCACAGGAGTGTGCCACCATGCCTGCTTGGCTTGCTCTTTCTTTCTTTCTTTCTTTCTTTCTTTCTTTCTTTCTCTCTTTCTTTCTCTCTTTCTCTCTCTCTCTGTCTTTCTCTCTCTCTTTCCTGGAACTGTGACCATAAGGCAGGGCTTGACCAGAAGACACAGAGAAATTAGTAAGAACTATATCTAGAAGATGTTTTCTTACCTAGAAGAGGGACTTAAACTATAATTCTTGGGCACTGGGGAGCCATGGAGTTATTTTAACAAAGAAGGGAGGTGAAAATGAGTCCCTTCCATCAGGATCAATCTGCAATTTCAGTGACCTATTTGATGATACAAGCTAAAAACTTAGGGTACCAACTACAGACAGATTAGATAAAGGGCTTTTCGTTAGCTTTTTAACACTGTGACACAACATTAGGGATAAGCAACTTACAAGGAAGGAAGGTTTAGTTTGGGCCATGGTTTAATGTTTCAGCCCATGGTCACTTGGCACTCATATAGGACCCATGACAGTTCAGTACATCAGGGCAGGGTCTGTGGCAAAGAGGAGGCTTTTCAGGGCAGCTGGGAAGCAAAAAAAACAAACAAACAAACAAACAAAAAAAAAAAAGGGTCCCAATAGCGGCTTCAAAGGTCACACCCACAATGACCTCACTTCCTCCCTCTAGGCCTCACCTCTTAAAATTCCACTTCTTCCAATAAGAACAAACTGAGGGCCAATCCTTTAACATGAGTCTTTGCGGGACATTGTGGATCCAAACCACAGAGAGACAAATCCCTGTCTGAACCCTACTTCAGTACTCATCTGCTGTGGCGGGGCTCCCTCATGTTCTCTGAGCCTCTGTGTGCTCATCTGTAAAGTGGGCTTGAGGAGCATACAGTGAAACACTACACATGAAACTTCTTGGAATATAAGGGATGGGGAGATCTGTGGTCACCTGAATAGTATCTCTCAGACTTTGGGGGTTTTAGGGTTTCCTTATGGTTTTTGGTGCTGAGGACTGAACCTATGGCCTTGTACATGCTAAGCAAGTGCTCCATAACTGAGCCAAACCCCTATCCCTTTTTGTTATTTTATTTTGAGACAGAGTCATGCTAAGTTGCCCAGACTGGCCTTCAACTTGCCATCCTCCTGCCTCAGCCTTCCAGCTAACTGAGATGACAGGCATTAACTCCATACCCAGCCTCCTAGATATGTTGCTAATCTAAAATTCACATGGCTAAATCATATGTACAACACTACTAATCTAAAAGACAAATGAACTAAAATATGTATGTATGTAAAATGCAGATAAAAAAGTTGGAAGAATTCACACCAAACTAGAAATGGGGTACTGGCTGATGTGATGACACAGGCCTACAAACCCAGTGCTCAGGAGGCTGAGGCAGGAGGATTGCTGTGAATTCAAGGCCAGCCTGAGCTACTTAGTATTTCAAAGTAAGGTTGAACTACCTAGAAAGACCCTGTTTCAAAAAACAACAACAAAAAAAATGAAACAAATAAGCAAAAATAGAGTGCTGGGGTGAGGCGGGGAAAAAAAAAAAGGAGAACATAGCTTCTACTTCTTGAGTCCTACTTCCTATATTCTCCTTCCTGAGTTCTTTTTTTTTTTGGTCTTTTTTGTTTTTATTGGTACCAGGGATCGAACTCACAACTGCCTGCTTGCAAGGCAGGCACTTATGCTGATAAGCTAAATCCCCAGCCCCTCCTTCCTGAGTTCTATTTCCTGAGTCCTACTTTCTGACCCAACTGCCTGGGTCCTACTTCCTGAGTCCTCCTGACTGCTGCTTCCTGTGTTCTACTTCCTGAGTCCTACTTCCTTAGTCCAACTTCCTGGATCCTCCTTTACTCCTGTTTCCTGAGGCCCATATCCTG